CCAGAATGACCGCCTTCAGATCTGCCCCGCATGTCTGTCTGGTCAGGTGCCGGGTGCCGGTGGGGATTGTGCATTGTGCAGGGTATGGAATGGCTTGGGGCTGTATCAGCTTCCACCTCTGCCCCCACCTCTTTCCACTCGTGCGTCCCGTGCTTTCCCTCTTCATGTAAATACGTGATGCATGTGAGGAGTTGCACACAACACAGCCATCATGTATCTACGCCCGTCCTCCGCCTTCCCCGCTGCGTTGCGCTTCACTCTGTATATTTTCCACTCTCCAGAAAACGGTGAATCTTCTGTCTCTCACTTTTCGTGCTGCTGGATGAACAGAGGCGAGGGGTAAGGGCAATAATGGGTTACCAAAGGCCCAAAGGAAGGAGTTAAGCGGGAAGCAGGATTACTCGTGTACCTAGGACAGTTTAACCCACCTCCCTTATGGCCCCATGCCTACATCACCCCGATCACCCCGATCACCCCGATCCCAACAGAACCCAGTGGGGCATTGCGTTTTATACGCTTGCAATAGTGGGACTATTCTACTGATGCATTTCGGTACCCCCTATGTAAAATCGCTTACCGCCTCCGCGGCCGCGGACAAACGCTCACAAGGAAACAGCCTTGTAAACCACGACAGGAAACCTTTTCAGGTGTAAAATCTCAGATTTCGTTGAAACTTGAAAAATTTGAAGAGCAGGATTTGTGACTTTTGAAGCCGAAGGCCTATTTACGACTCTTTCTTTTGCCCGACTCGCGCCACTGGCGTAGGTAGATGTATGCCAGGCACGTCGCAGCGGAACAGTGTTTCGTGAGATCGCGAAGCCTGTTACGCGAGACGTGGTCTGGCGTACATCTACCTAGTTCATTCGATTATGCTCTTCAGTAAATTGCGAGACTAAAATGATCGGGCCGCAGGCCCGGCTCCTTCCGAACGGAGTTGCCGGCGCAGCGAAGTGGAGCTGGCAACTCCGTTTACCGGAAGGGCCGTTGCGCTGGTAACTCCGTTCGGCAGGGGCCGGGCCTGCTTGGCCTGCTGGCGGCGATGGTCGGGCCGAAGGCCCGACCATTTCAGTCTCGCAATTTACTGAAGTGCATAATCAAAAAAATAATGTGACCGGTAGATCACTTTGCATATTTGAGTAAACTAAACCGTCAGGCTGGGGGCCTGCGGCCCTAGAAATTTGCTCCTTGGACATGACAAATGACTGTAACGGGGCAACACCGTGACTACACCCCACCCTTCTGCTCTCAGAAAAAGACAAAAAAATGAATGCGCGTGGTTTTTAGATTGTATATTGTTTCTCAAACAGTCTTAAAACTTGACTTGATCAAGTCAAGTTTTTTGCCATTATTTGCCATTATTTTCAATATATCCACCTCTAGGGCCGAAACAATGAAAGATACGGCAAATCCGAGGGTAGTTCCTGATTCAGAATGTGTTGTTTTGGGGGGGTACTTCCTTTGACATCTTACGATTGGACGCCTCCTTGTACGTCTTTATGTGAACGTGGTCATTTTTGCCGTTTTATCGTCGAAAAAAGCACTATAGCGCCCAAACGGTGCAAGATAGAGTCAAACGGAGAAAATGTTCGTCAGGAGGGCTCTACTTCCACGAGTTACCCCTTAGGAAACTAGAAAAAAAATATTTTTTTTCTACTTTTTGGACCAACCCCTATTTCTTTGTTACCCCCTTTCATCCCCTTAGGGGTGGTTGCCAGGATTTGCACCAGGCGTTTCGTTGTCCAGATGTGACCCCTAAGATACCCTGAAATTTGTAGACCTCTAGCTCTTACACGGACGACAGACAGGCGGACACGAGAGCGGTTGCATAAGCCCGCTTTAATGCTTTTTAAAAAAGCAGAAGGGCGGGCTAAAAACAGCCATACCCTTTTGCGTGCTTAATTGTTTTAATGAGTACATTGATAATACTTATTGCCGCTCCTCTCGCCGAGTAGAGTCGGCTGATGGCCTGGCCGGGACAGAAAACATGCCAATTATTGCAGCGCAGCGCCAGAAACTTTGCTCACGGAAAGTTTTCCTGCTTGAACCGGCGACGCCTCTGCTGCGTCCGTGGGGTCTGGTGAGCATACCTTGTAGGTCTAGGAGCGCCTAGAAGGCTCCTGCTGAAGAGGCCCTGGCGTCCTAGTGGGCCAAAGGTTCTGAAGGACGGAACTACAATCCCAGAGTAGGCTCGACTCCCCCCCCCCTTTCTCCTAAGCGAGAGTTTGAAAGCTGACAGCGGTGCTTTCTCGTGCTTTCTGAATCGATGCTACTGTCCCAGACCCTTCCCCTCCGTTTTCGCCCTTGCCTGGGTAGCGTGCGCTGCGCTGGCGGGAATATATTGTTTATGATTGTAGAGGAATTGTAGGCCTTAACTTTACCTTATGACGGGTATACACACAAATTTGAGTTGATTTTTGAACCGTACTGCCGAAGTGCACGTAAAACAAAGATAAGCTGCCACAGCTAATATATATTTGCTGGTATTTGTACAGGTTACCCTAATAAGTTGATAAGACCAACAAAGAAATGTTTTATTCTAACCGATGATTGGTTGAATTCGGTCGAATATGACTTAGCACTCGAGTGACTCGAGTAATGTATATTCGAGCTTATGTTCCTTCTAATTATATTTTAGAGCAGTCAACATTCAATTTTCTTCAAGCAATAATAGAGTGTAATAGTTCATATAATTATTTACGGAATTACTTTATTCGTTACCTTACAAACACCAGCGAATATGTGAGCTGTGGAGCGATTTTTTTTCCGCGTGTTGCAAGTGGGAGTTCAAATTTACAACACGTTCTGCTGCCTCTGCTCTCGCTTTCCCGAGAGGAGAGGGCTGCAGTATTGTAAGTCGGAGGGCTGGGCATCGGACCACGCATGCATTTGGCTGAAGCTTTCTGTTTCCAGCATGCTACGAAAATAATGAGAAATGGAACAGCGCTCTGTTTTGAGTTTCTCATCCCGTAACTGACGACGGATGTTCTGTTTTCAGCACGCGAACCCTACCACCTCCAGCACCACTAGTGTGGGCGGGGGAAGCGGCGCGGGCTGCTCGGCGGGGTCCTCGGGCGCCTCGGGGGCTCGGGGAGCCTCGTCCTACTCGGGGCCCCCGGGCACCAAGTTCAGACACGGACTGCTGCAGCTCATGATCCACACCATCGATCCCCTGCACGACGGTAAGTACGCAAGAGAGTCAGCTTAAAACAACGATTACAATCCTTGATAACTAACTATGAAACGATTTAAAAAGTTACACGAAAAATCTGATTCGCTTTTCGTAGATAATTCGTAATCTGTGAAGGATCTCCAAAGGGATGCCAGGCACTCTTTCACGGGAATTCTTAGTTCGTCTTTTTGCATGATATGTTTGTGCATTAATGCACATGTCCATAATTATGGACACAAGTTTTTGTACTACTTGTCTTCCGTAATTTGAGGGAGTTTTGTTTTGTTTATTTAGAAGTCCGTATAGACCAGTAACCAAGTGGGCAGACTTTGCACAATTCCCTATCGTTAAAAATGTGCATGCTATTTAGTGTGTTATATGTTCAAACCCCACACTGATAAAGTGTTCAACTGGTGTGCACAGCAGAGATCGTCGAAGCATACGGGTTGGTTTTGGTCCTTTCGACTTGTGTACATTGGTGCTCCATTTCCTGTGGGGTATAGCAGCGTCTAACTGTGGGCGTGGACATACCTAAACGCATTACTCCGATTATAACTTTTCCATGCGCTCTTTGTAGTTCTAAAAACAATAATTTATCGTCTTGCTCGCGACTATACATAAAGAATCAAAAGGTAAAACCAGTTTTTTTTTTATTA